CAGTGCCGTGTGTGCACAGAGCACAAGAAGAAGAGTAGAACTGCCTACATGTGCAACTTCTGCGTAATGCCTCTTCACAAAGGGGAATGTTTCCAGAGATATCACACGCACAAGCACTTCTAGGAGCTCTGGTAAGTGTTCTCCAAAAATTTCAGTTCATAAAATTAATTAGGAGATTTTATATTAATTTTTAAAGTGAACAGTGCACAAGTTAGGGTAGTAGGTTTAAAAACGCCGGTCCCCAGGGTGATTTAAATGTTTAAACCACCGGTCCGCAATGTGTTAAGAATGTCAGGTAAGTTGTGCTGCCTAGTGGCACACTTCCTAATTATCATCCTTCTTGTTGTGTCATCCTGCTGTGATTAATCATCACCCTAGAGCTATTTGTTCATGTGTATGTAGTGTGCGCTTTGCGATATTCAAGATGGCTGATATTCATGAGCAGTGTATTAACATTAAATTATGGTAAATGTTTATGGAGATACATGAAACGATGAAAAATGTTTATGATGATCAGTACACGAGCATACTGAGGTTTCTGTCCAATGCTGCCATGGCAAGCACATGGTGGTTGAGTTCGCAAACTTTACTGTCAGACCTTGTACAGAAAACATTTACATTCTCAAACTCTGGTCAAAGAAATGCGACCCTAAGCACGTATATATGGTATATAATTGCTTAGTGACTTTGTGGAGTTCACAATTTTGGCCATTTGACAATGAAACTTCCACAACACTGGCTTACCGGAATGGCGGATGATTGAAACAGTACGGGCAAAATGGATAACTCTTGCCCTTAGCTCCAGCAGACCATGACAGCAACTCAAAGTCATCAAGTGGACACTTCAGCTCCTTGTAGATCCGGACGTTCCCATTCTGTGGCAGATTGTAAGTTTCATCACAGTGGGAGCAGTGCATGCGGGATGGTTTTGCCTGGATGTACTTCATATATCTCCGGCATTTTCCACAGCTGCATCACAAAAATAAATCTATCAGGGCATCTGCTTCCATACTAATTCCAATGGACGTCCATATCTAGACATAAACATGTGACAGGACTAAATGGAACGCAGCTGAGAGGGTGCAATTGTTGCCAACTCTCTGAAGTGGGACCAGTATACAGCACGACTTGTAAAATGCGTCATAACAAAGACAATGAAGTGTCATATATCCTGTGCAACTGGAAGGTTCTAGCTAACATAAAGAGTTTGTCACTTGGGAATCAATTTCATAATGGCAAGTGATTAACCGAAGGCCTCATTAAGCATAGAACTGCACTTCATCTGAAGCATAGGACTGCTAAAGGGCTAACTCAGAAAGCAGAAACAAAAAAGATCACGCATAACGGAGAAGACAAATCACCCCTTTAATATACAGCTCACTGAGAAGACGACTGCCATTAAGCTTCATTACAATGTTCACAACAGCCTGCTCCTGAACCTTATCCTCAGCCAGTTGAAACCAGTCAACATCCCACACTATTTCTTTTGGATCCTTTTAAATATTATCCTCCTATCTGTGCCTAGGCTTTCCAAATGGTCTCTTCCCTTCAAATTTCCTGACTAAAATTTTGTCCAGTTTCCCACTTGTGCCATAATTTCATGTGCTTTATTAGTTACATAACGCAGATCACTCTTGCTGAAAATTTAAAATGTTCTGTTGCAGCTACATCATGGTTTTGTGTTTGGTTATCCCAGTTCCCACTGGAAGGAACATAACATGCACAAGTGAACACTGACTGCAGCACAATGAATCTTTCCACCAAAATCAGTAAAAATTAGATTAAAATACCCAATGGGCTCAAATTTCTGGACCACTGGAAATTCTTTACATCAGTGGTTCCCAACCTGGGAGGTGCAAAGGGGTTCCAGGGGGGCATGAAGCCCCAAGAAAAAACGTTAATATCAAATTCAACTGACGTAATTCTTTTTAGCTGCATTTAATAGTTCTTCTACTGACACCCACTGGAATCATTAACACATATTAACAAAATATAAAAGACCAATTAGACAGCTGCATATATCAGCATTGTTCATTGCAAAAGAAAGTGCAGCTTGCAACTTTCTCATTTTAAAAATATAAATTATTTTCGAGATGTCTGGGTTTTTTTCATTTTGTTCATTGCCCAATGTTCTTAAAAAATACAGAAGCCAGTTAACCCCAAGTTCTATACATCATTGTCAGAACCCTTTAAAATCTACATGAATTTCTTTCCTCACAATTCTGATATGGTACTAACTGCAAATTAGTTAATCATAAACAAATAACATACTCTTTAAGGGATGCATTCCATTGTGTGTTAGTAGTGTGAGTTTTGTTTTCCCTGTCAAACAACTCACTCAAATTTCACTGTGCATAACTGAGTTTATTGGTCGTATAATGTCACAATACGTTTCGGGTCATGGGGCCATCATCAGGCAATACATTAAAGAACCTTATACTATTGAATTATGCCTCCTATATGTATATCCATATATTGTACTTATCATTGTGTTACAAGAAACCAAAAAATATGGTGTGCTCCTTTCTCTTTCGTTATTCACCTTTATATGCACAGATGAGGTGGCTGTGTTATTCTACTGCTTTAAAAATGTATTAAACAATACTCTTAGTGGTTGATTCCCCCCTTAGTTTAAATAACGTTAAAATTATGTACAGATTTCCTCTGTTGGTTGCTCTGGGCTTTCCACCATCAATGTGACTGCATTTTGGCTTGTCTTGATCTCAAATGCTGTGTATGTGATACAACTGTCGCCGCTCATGTTAGTCTATATTATGTTGATGTTTGATGGTGGTTGGCTGTTTTGCTCCCAAGTTCATTTAATGTTTTCTTCTTCAGACAGCTACGGAGATTGGTGTTCGACATATTCTTGTATTATCTTGTTAAATTATGTTGTGTCCTTCATCTCGTCCTTCCATGATGTGTCTATAACTATGTTGATGGATTTGTAGTCTTTATTCGAGCTTTCACTAATGTGTTTGCTTTCGTCATCTGTTGGGTTGCACAGTGAAATGTGAGCAAGTTATTTGGTATATATTGTTGTGTTTGACAGGAAAAACAAAACTCATACTCGTATATAACAACATACTCTTAATTATGAGCACAACTGTTGGGAAGGGATTGTGAAAACTGACCCTGCCTTACGCAGACATAGAGAGACTTCATAGTATATTACATTTTGGATCACTGGGATCAAGGATATTTATTTTAAATATACAGTTTAATCACTCATTTAAGATTTTTATTGGGATTAGTGGATGTGAACACTAAATTGATGAAAATCTTATATGGAAATAATTTAACACTAAGATTAATGACTTGGGGTTCAGGGAAACTGAACACTAAATGAGGAAAACCTTAAATTAAGTAACATTAAATGGGGGTTCCATGGCATACACAGGGGTTTTCAATGGGTACTGCAGCACCATCTATGACACAGTAGATTAGGATCAACCAAAGTGACAGTAGCACATTTCAAGGTACTATGGCATCATTTACCTGAAGCGAATGAAGAAAAGCATCAAGTCATGATAGTGAGTTTCAGAGCAAAGATTCAGAGTACATTCCAATTACTAGGTCAATGTATTGCATATGATACAACCTCAGTTATAGAATGTGATTTACTATATTTATAAATTGCACAATTTACTAATGAAAACAACACTTGGTTTCAGTGAACTCTGCATCAGTGTGTCTGTCCAGTTCATGCCATTTCTGCAACTACTGCAGTCCTTGCTGCCAGGCTGGCTGCAACAATTGTGAACATGAGGCACTGTGTCAGCCTCTTTCCACATGAAAGGAAATGAATTTCAACATTTTCTGTAATCCGATTACCTCCACATCTACCAAGTTATGTTCTCAATGGTAAATTATTGCATTATTTATAATTATTAATGCAGGGCCTTATGCAAGTGAAGAGCACTGTAGTAGTCTTCCAGAAACACCAAAATGTTCTAAGTGGACGTCATTAAGTTCAAGTTGTAAAGATGACATTCTTACCGTGAGTGAGCTTTTCCTGATGCTGCAAGTGGAGAGAATGACACTTCAAATAACTGGTCCATTCCCTCAATGTTCTTCACGAAGTACAAGAATTTCTGCTTGAAGATCTCGACAGTATGCTGCAAGACGGCAGTGAAGTTGGCCTGTCCACGTGCAATAAGGTTCAGTTGCTCCTCCACTGCAGACCTCATTGTTGGAAGCACAAGCTCCGGGTCAATCTGACCAATAACAATACGAGCAAGTACTTTTAACAGCAGCAGTCTTTTAAGTCTTGCACTGATGTTCAAATTCTGATCACGACTTGAATACAGGCTTACACATGACTGACACTGTCTTATAACCAACAGTTCAGACACTTGTGTTGGGGTATCTCACATTCCATTTCATCAGAACTGGACAAAGGATTCAGAACTGAAAAAATGGCATGCCAATAATGGCCTTAGCATAATGTACAATATAAACAGGGGCCTACTCCCCACAAAAAAACTACCAGAAACTGGTGAGAAGTATAAAATTATCTGTGCTGAGCATATATTCAGACAAAGGAGAAATAGTTGTATTATTCAGCTGACACGGACACTGAGCATGTGTGCCACTGTCAGCTCCTCTTCAACAGTCATACTCAGTATGCTTCAGTTTTTTCAAGGTTGTTGCAGTCTGCATGGATGAGAACAATGCAGCCAGAAAGGCAAGACTTTGAGTCAGTACCTACATGTATCTAAAAGGCGGTGTGAGTTATTCATACTGATCTCAGCTTCAGGAAAGAGTATTTTACATTCAATGGACTGGAAACAGTCACATGGCAAGTAGATAAAAGTTGTACTGCTGATACTCTGTTTTAAAAAAAAAATAATAATAATACACAATATCAACACCGATGCAATTAAATAAAATTTGTGTCTGACAATAAAACTAAATTAATAAATTCTATCATTAATTTGGCTATGACAGCAATATAAGAAAAATATAAATACAGGCTGAGGTGCAGAAACTTCCTTTTTTTGAAGGCAAATAAAAGAAAAATTATTAATGCTAGACAAAATTAATGTTTAGCTAATGAAAGAATGTACTTTAAAGTTTTAAATCATGTAGTTTGAAACAAAATAGCTTGAAGGTGGTGGCCACCGTTCTCTATGCACTGATGCAACCGTTTCCTGAAGTTCCCCTCTGCACGTTCCAACATGTGCACCAGAATTTGGGCTACTTCCTGCCAAATAACATTTTTCAGATGAAGCAGTTTGTGAGGCGATGTTTAAAAACCTCTGCCTTGAGGTATCCACATAAAAAAAATCACAGGGCATTATATCAGGTGAGTCACCTCGAAGCGAGATGAGCCGTCCGGGAACTTTGCCCTCAAAACTGTCATCGAAGCTCAGGCTGTGTGGGCGGTGGCACCATCCTGTTGGAACCACACATTTCCTAGATGCATTTCTTCAAGAGCTGGCTCGAAAAAGTTTTTAATCATGTCCACATACCGCTGTGAATTGACAGTAACTGCATGATTGTCTTCTTCACAAAAATAAGGGCCAATAACTCCAACTCTCGACAACGCACACCATACTGTCACCTTATCACTGTGAAGTGGCCCCTCATGGAGCTCTCTGGGATTGTTACCACTCCAATAGCGCATATTCTGCCTGCTGACATATCCGGATAGGTTAAAATGTGCCTCATCACTAAAGAAAACAAGTGCGTCAGGGGTTAAGTTTCAAATAACATTTCAGACGCCATTATTCGGTTCTGGAAACCACGTGGTGACAATTCTTGCACAACAACCATCTTATAGGGACGAAAATTAAGATGTTCGTGAAGAATCTGGTGCATGGAACAATTGGATATGTCTAGGGCGACTGCATGTTTGCGAGCGAAGCGTCTTGGAGATCTCAAAATCGACTGTCGAACTGCCTCCACATTTTCTGGCGTCGTGACAGTCCGTTGTCAGCGTGATGATCTTTTTCACCACACTCCCGGTTGTCCTAAAGTTCTCTACCCACAAAACAATTGATTTCCGGTCAGGAACCGGACCTCTGGGCATAATTCCGAAGTGAGTACGGAACGCACGCTGCACCACCACGTAGGAATGGTTGTTCAAAAAATAGGCTTCAACAGCAAACACACGCTGCTCACTCGTCCACCTCATGTTTCCTACTGAGGGGTATTAGACAGAAACTTCCGCGACTGCTGTGTTCGCTGAGCCTATCCCCACTTTTCTGCGACCGCCCCTCCTTTCACAATGTGTCTTCACAAAAATGAAGTTTCTGTGCCCCACCCTGTACTTCCTACTTGAAAATTAGGCAACTGTTGTGACTACTGTTTCAAAGAATATACAAGAAGTTAACTCTGATGGAGTACACATATTCTCCAAAACTGAATGTGAATTCCTGCAGAAATAAAACAATTTCTTTCTTTCTCCCAATTTGTCCTTCGCTTCTCTGTATTGCTGTGGCTGATATTCTCTCAATGTATGGCAGCACAAAACTGTGTTGTCAAACTTACAAAAGAATCAAGGAATCTGTCATTCTGCTTGTATTTCATTATAATATACACCATGTTCAAAGCTGGGGTCCGGATAGTGATGGACAATGAACGGGGCAGAGGAATTAGAGTTTGATTCCTGGAAGGTGCAAGAGAATTTTCTCTCTTCCATAGGATCCACACTGGCTCTGAAGTCCACTCAGCATCATATCCAATAGGTACTAAGGGCTCCTTCATGACAGCAAAGTGGCCAGGGCATGAGGCTGACCACTCACTTCCACCTAGTGTTGAGGTTATGAATGTGTTGAGATATTACCTCCACTGCCCCCCATATATATTTGTGGTGTCATCCTTACTTAGTTAAGTGCAGGGGGCAACTTTACATATATGAAGTTGAGCCTCTTAAAGGGACCTGTATTTCACATTTCACATGACTGGAACTGGGCATCAAAGAAAGCAGTGGTTATACTGTACCAATACAAACAAAACCAAATACCACTTCCAAATTTCAGTTAATTCCCCCAAATACAAAATTCTGTCAAAATGTATCCTGTAGCTTCAGAGATATGAACTTGGGGTTCTCGTGGTACTGAATTTTCAGACCAGTCTTCTGGGAGGCGAGGTCATATAGTTTAGGAGACAGGTACCAACTGCCCACATACAGGGTAAAGATAGAGACACCAGATTCCGCCAGAACACTTGCATCTATGTACCAAACTGCATGGCATCACATTCCAGCCCACCATAACCTTAAAAATGAGCAGGATCATTTATTTAACACACTCTGTTCCAGGATCAGAAACATATAATTCCATACACAACTGCACCAGTACCAACCTTTTGATAGCCATGCACCAGAATGATGCCAAGCGGTGTGGGAATAAGGCGACGACCAGAAGCTACAGTAACATAGTTCCGCTGGCTGATATTGTTTATGTGGACTGGAATCGAAGCATCGGTACCAATTCCATGTTTCTCCATCAGTGTAATAAGCTCAGCCTCTGTCAGATAATCTGGTGGGCATGTCTGACATTCCACTAGCTTCACCTGTGCATTAGTGACAGAATAAAGAACTGAGAGAACATAATTTTTTTTAATTCACTTAGTGGGGGGTGGAGTCCAACTGGGTCCACTCGGCACAGCAGCCACTGATTGGCCTATTGTAACCTGACCTGGGTGATTATGATGATTGAGAATTTGGTGGAATGAAGATTGGCAGGGGAAACCGAAGTACTCGGAGAAAACCCGTCCCAGTGCCACTTTGTTCACCACAAATCCCACTTGACCAGACCCGGGATTGAACCTGGGTCACCACGTTGGGAAGCCAGCGACTAAACGCTTCAGCTATGGTGCAGCCAAAACTGAATTTCATTCACTGCAATATAATACAAGTTTGTCATTGTCATCACCACTGCTGCCACCACCAGGACGACGATGAGAACAACAATTACCAGATCAAGGCTTACTGACACCTGTTACAGATATCATAAACTAGAGCTTTCCCTCAATTCAGAGGTCTTCGAAACATCTTTCTCCCTTTGACTGACATTTTAAAATTTTTTAGGAGTACTGCCTGAGTTCATGCTGTCAGTAAGCTATAGATATGAGTCTTTGATAAAAAAAACAGTAAGAAAGGATACAGCGCTAACAACAGTAATGGTTTAATGACTATACTGAATCACAAATATTAAGTCACACATACACACACACACACCTGTGTATGTTCCTTTTTAACAAAACCATTCAAGTTATTTGACAAACCTCACAAAAACTATGTCCTTAGTGCATAAATTTAAATTGAAGAAACTTCTAAGCAAGAGCCTCTTTCTTTTTTTAATGTTTGGACACCCAGTGCTTTAAAGGACATATCTGGATGATATATTTCCACTTGAAGGTTAAAGAAGAATATACTTATGCTACAGCATTTTCTTTGCTTCTGACTGGGCAAAGATGCTTCTCACCCTTGCCTAACTCCATGCATCACTATCAGGAAATGTGAAATGTTTCATCTCCACAAGTTTTAAACGATCACCTCAAATCCAGAGCCACCTTTTGAATTTCAATAACACTGAAACGGCGAAGATTAACGGGTTATAAAGTAACATCACTGAAGTTCCTCTGGATGGGAATTTGACTAGTGGTCTCTGATGTCATACCCCAACCCTCAGCACTTGAAATCTTATCTACACAAATCACTTTTCCTGGTCTTAATGCTCAACTTTTACTCACATCCACTGGAGACAAACATATGCAGCCATTTTCCTTCACATCTGTCTCCAATTCCTGGACTACCATTAGAGCAAACAGTACAAAAGAGTTAGGGTGACTCACTTACATATGGCCCCAAATTAATAATTACAATTCACCCAGTAATTTATTGATGAAAACAAAACTCAGTGAGCATGTACCTTAGTAGATGTGGAGATGTGTTAACAAAAGATGCTGAAATTGGTTACCGTCTGCCTGAAGATACAGGCTGACATGATTTCCCATGTTCAATGATGTTGCAGTCAGCATGGCAAAATGAATTACATACTGATGGGCATGGTATTATCCAGGCAGGCAAAGGTCACTGATGCAAAGTACACAGTATTACCAAATTTCATCTTCATCACTAAATTACTGCAAGACTTACAATTATTAATCACCATGTACACTTTGTGCAATAACATAATAAAACTAAACAGATCCAGTCTGTTCCAGTAGGACCTGGCTTACATCCTGTATGTTGGCCATCTCTCCTTCAGTGAAGGTAGGAACAGTTTCATTCTTGCCAAACGCCTGCCAGTGCATGACTGTGGTGTAACCTGGATCCAAAAGGGTCTTGCCTGTACATGTGAATGTCTCAGAACCCACTTGGAAAGTCACTGTTGTGCTGAGATACTTGCAGTCTCGAGACACCTAAACAGTATATTCATACGGCATCACACGCATAATTTCTGAAGCCAGGGGATAAGTAAAAACTGTCTTACACACTAATTCTACATAAAAAATACAGCAGAACTACAACATAAGAATTATGGCTTACAATAAGAACTTCATAAGCACAGTTTCTTAATGTTAAACATAAAGAAAAAAACGACATACACTCAACTCTCGATTATCCGGGATAA